AGTACCAAGAAAATTCTAATTTAAGAATTACTTGATCTCAAAACATATCTAAAGTTATCTATATCAACAGAAAAAACATTTTTTGATATGTAAATGAATATGAATACGAAGTTCAGTTCGATCATTTTTCTAAAATTGTCCAATCTCGTTTATGTCATTATAGTGGCATTCATGTCGAAACTAAAGTTTTCTTTTGGTTTCATATTCCAAGGATTATATCAAAACAATGTGTAGAAATTATATTTGACTTTCAATTTTATAGATCTGAAATATTTCTCGAATTAATTGACGGTTTGTAATTAGTCACTGAAATCAATGATGATTAAAATCGGTTTATTGCCGATTCTCAAAAAATCATTTCTTATATCATAATCAAGATAAAATCTAATTTTCTACAACATGATATATGGATTAAAATGAAACATTTTTCTTTGTTAAGCTCTTACAATGTCAGATATACACTTTGACATCAAATGTTCAACGAATCTAAAGCAAACATATGATATATTTCTATTTGAATAATGATCTAAACTCTGACATTTTTCTAAATCACTAAAATTAAATCAATTAAATAGAAGAGTATACTGAAGTAAATTTTTTTCTCAGAATTAATCTCGATGATCGACAATCAATCTTATATTATGATCAGCAAACATACTCCGTTATAGTATGATTCGCTAGTCAATTTAATTGTAAAGTCCTTTTTCTTAACTATCAATTTCAAATATATAAATGACAGTTTGTTTAATTGAAACTGATGGTTTCTTTTCTTTTTTTTATCAAATCTGATTCATCAAGAGAAAAAAAAGAAGAAACAAATAGTAATTGACTTTCTATCGATGTATTTATCGAATATATGCTCATTTCAAGAAAATTACTTGTCAAGTATTTGACAAGGACATAGTGAATTATATGCCTAAGTGTTCTTCAAGTGAATGTCAAGAATATCGATAAAATAGATCTTCAGATAAGAAATATCGAAAAGAATTAAATGATATTTGCTTTTTTAATCTTACAACTTCCTCACTATTGACAATTGACATAATCGTTTGGATTAAAATTATATTATTCAATGATATATAAAATATCTTGTGATGAAAAACAACAGATATTTTTGGAATATTTCAATCTTCTTTTTTTGTCGGTCGTTGCCTTCTTTAATAATCATTGTTACATGAATCGGTCACTGATTTCCCTTAGATATTGTGGTAGCAGGAAAACCTTGTTATCATCACTTAGTCTCATTGTCAATCTCATTTGTCTTGTCGTAATGAAGGTTAAACACGTACGTCATTTCCTATATCAAATGAGAAATATACTTTTTTTTTTTTTTTGGATATTGTATCAATTGCCATTGTTACATGTTCTTCCGCTTCATCAAATTGGGTATTTGTTTCGTTAAAAAACATATCTTCTGCTCACTTGATTCGTGCTTTTGGCTGATTAGTTACATTACTTATTCTCTTTATTTTTTCTTTCTTATTATCTTCAATGCCATTCATGTGATGATAAAAGTATGATCATGCTATGTTTTCACTCCAAATAAAAATAGAAGACAGACTATGTTTGAATTTGCTTTGCATATCATTATATGTCATTGCTATTTTCGTCACTAGCACTTTCAAAATAGAATTTATATTATATATTGACCGCGTCTGTAAACTCTTGTCATCTTCAATCATATATACAAAATACATATATACAGATGCATAGGCAAATCAAAAGTTTATTTGAGATGACCTTAATATGTATGAATGCTTTCATTCTTTTTTTTTTTTCTTGTGACCCTATTTCTCTAAGGAAATCGAACAGCACACCTGCTAATAGTGAACAATAGTTGTTTCCGTTAATTGTATGGACACGAAGGAAAGATCAATGTGATGCAATAGATACGCCGAAGAAGACATTATAATGGTAAGATAACCTTGTATAACATATATCTGAATGAATATATATATATGTTTGACCTTAGAGTTTACACACCTTGATATGTGACAGACCTCATAGACAGTTAACATATACCATCATCACTCAACTAATCGAGACAGCAGGGTCACTGTTAACATAAGCTGTTAAGACAGAATGTCTAAATCGAACATCTGGCTATAACGGAAATTGAATCTTGTTCTCATCTTCTTGTCCTTTATATACTTATGATAACTACTATGAATTGAATAGTTCCTGCGTTGAGAGCTATTGATGGTCACATGTCACTTAATTTTCATCAATAATAACGTGATGTTTTTTTTTTGATTAATGATTCATTACTTAGAATCCTTATTAAATATGAAAGATATTTTGAAATATCTAATTTAAAAATATGAATTCTAGTCAATATGTTTTCTTTCGTCCTTCATATTGTCATATATATTTTTTGTTGTTGATCTCTCATCAAAACTAATAAGAATAAAAAATCTCATTTCAAATAGTCCCCATGTGTCCGATACTTCATTCATTCATTCATTCGTTTATTCATTCCACACATATTAATGTCCTTTATATGACGCACAACAACAAATTGTTTCTGCCTTGTTTCGACTGACGCCCGCATCATGGCAAAAAAAAAAAACTATAGAAGCACGAAGAGGAAATGCTACCATACCATAACATATAAACGGAACGAAGGATTGAGAAGAGGAAAAAAGAAATCACTGAACGATCTGTAAAAGAAACGAAGAAAGAAGGGAGAAGAAAAAAGAGAATCTCTAATGCCACAAAATAGGTGACTCATTCTTATCGTATACTCTCTACGTGAAGAAAAGAGAAAAAAACCAGACGAAGCAAAGCTTTTTTTTGTGGGTATGTAATCAAAGAAAAAAAACGCTCGTTGCAATCCCCCACTTTGCTCCGATATGGTATATTGATGCATGTAAAAAGATGTATTGTTAAAAGCATCTCGCAAAGACCAAGAAGAAAGTGAGTTAATCAACTGTTACTAATGCTTTCTCTGTTCCTTGCATTTTCTCGCCCGACTAAACGCGATAAACTGGTTTATGCTTAAAAAATACTCACATCCTAAGAAATACTAGTACACCCATCACTCTACATTCCTCTTGTCTTCTTCATTGAACACATATGACAGATTATATTACGTACGGTATAGAGCACGTAAAACAAACATAAAACATCCTTTCTCATACAACTAACTACATATACATCTAACAAACTCTTCTATTTCTTACCATTTATAGAAAGTTGTATAAACATATGAGATCTAGTTATGATTTCCAGCTTGTACATATTATGATCTATGATGCACTATAGTAAATAGATTATTGTTCAGAAGAAGAAGAAGAAAGAATAGATCAAGTTATGTATTTCAATATGTGTGTGTCTGTATGTACGTTTTTTTTCCTGCCATTTTAATAATTTTATTGCACAGGTGAAGTTATTCTGGTAGGTATCGATGATACTTTGAGAAAGAAATTTCATCTCATTGAAATAATATTCCTTTCTTTTTCTGCTTCGTCGTATTCTTTGTATTCTATTAATTTGCTTTAGTTGTAATTTCATGACAGCCACAAATATATCCTCATAAAGTTTGATTTAACTCAATAATGACATCTTTCATCATACCTAATGTTCGTTATTTGCCTCTCTTTTTCCCTCCCTTGTCTAACTTCGTATATTATCGTACGCACAAATTGCAACATGTGACAAAAGCAAAGTGCAAGTATTTTGATTGTCACCTGCTTTTGTGGATGCTTTATTCGTTCTTGCCGTCGTTACGTATTTATTTAGTTACAGTCAATCAAAAGTTCTCGCTACGCTTATTTTTTTTTTTTTTTTGAGTTGTTTTGCTATTTTTGACATGATTATTGCATGCATCCATTTGTCTTCTCTCTCTCTTTCTCTTCTCTCTATCGGATCTTTTCAATTAAGCGAGAAGTGTATTTGCCGTTGTTCTTCTTCTTTTTGGTGTTGCCGTCTTCATCGACTCATGTCAAGGACATTTTCGTCCCTTGAGAAAGACATTTCCAGATCATGAAAAGAAAATTTTTCTTATTTATTAAAGTCTTCTTTGTTCCAATTATACGTTAGGATCAGACAATATGAAAGGTATACCGCATTATCATCAACAATATGTATACATTAATCATATTTTCGAAAGATCCTTTTCAGCAGTCTACAACATTTTTATATAAGAAATCTGATATAAGATTGCATATCTTAATCTAATATAGTGAATCACATAATTCATTATTTTTTTGTCTATTGAGAATATAATGTATTCTGTATATTGAACATTTAATCGAGTCCGTTAGTGGCTACTATGTGTATCTGCTTCTCTGTCTATATCAATTTCTCGGTCAGCGAACAACATATTGATAGAAGACACAAGAAATAGTATACCCTAAGGGAGCGGTAGTATTCTTATTTAATTGTCAGTATATACATGAGCAAGTTCAATATTCCACTTCTATGTAATAATAATAAGAAATTCGCATGTAAAAAGAGTAAAAACCTTGTACTGTCTCAATGATGATGAATATTGACTGGTGGAATAATAACTTGGCTTTCATACATAAGAGTAACCCAACCGTGCTTTTGGTTCATGCAAGTTACACATCTGTCGCTCGTAAAAAAGAGAGCTGTAGGCAAATGTATACTGTGTTTATACAAGCACAGGGAGACGAATTTGGATGAGAACATGATGAGGAAGAAGAAAGAAGGATATGATTACAAAATAAAATAACCATTCTGCCTGTGTCTCTCTTTTATCATCTTATATAGAATGGCATACTACTTTCTTTCTCGATTGCAACAGATGAAGAAAGATTAAACGAACCGTATATTGAATGGGCAAAAGTGAGTAATGAGTATAATAAGAACGCAGAAAAAAAAAGAGATTACTGAATACTGTACGATGTAATTATGATTCAACACTTGCGTACTTCTATTATGGTAATATTCATATGTTTCTCTAATATATATTTATATATATAGAATAATATGTATATTTTAGTTTATTTTAGATTTGATTCTTTCTTTTTACAACGATGAAATTTAAAGATTATTTAAGTTCTCTTGTATCCAAACGTAAAAGTAATACACCATCTTCAAAACCACATCCTAAACCAATTCATACAAAAAATCATCAAGAATTAACAGCATCAACTGATTCTCATTATGATATTTGTGGATATGAAGATATTAATGCTATTGTTACTGACGATCAACATAGTCGTACTCACATATTACTTGCTCGTCATGCTGAATTAGTCAATACAATAGTTGGAACACGATCATCATATGATAATGCATTACCTTCTTGTTCTCAATGTCGTACTTCATATCAACCATCGCCTGCAATTCCACCACCATTACCACCACCACTTCCACCTAAATTATCATTAGAACAGCAAATATCACATTCAAATCGTAATTATTCGAGTACATTAGCAACATGTAGTCCACGTCGTGAATGTCAACATCACCATCAAGTACAACAACAGCAACCAATTCATTCAACACACCTCATTTCGCCACAATATTCGACACCAAATCCAAGTATTATTTCATCGAGTAATAGTTCATTATGGACAACAACAACAACAACGAGTTTATCTAAAAAACAACGTTCTAAAATTCGAACTAATCCTTGGATTGGAAATACTTTAATAAATAATCGATCATCAATTTTTATTGAACCATCAAATGTATTTCATCATCATACATCACCACTAGTACCACTCTTATCACAACCTGAATATGGTATTTATGATTCAACATTTCATGCATCATCTGTCGGATTAATACATTCGGAATCATTTCCACAAACAACATCAAATGGAAATATTAATCTAACAAATTCATCATCACCTCCACCACCAGAACCAGCACCACCACCAACATCTATTGTTATGTTACATCAAAGTGATAGTGGACATGGATTCTCTCTATCGAGCTCAAGAGTTATTGGTTCCTCATCATCATCACCATCTAATGCCTCGTCTTCTTCTTCACCACCTCCATCAAATTCATCATCAGCAAATAATACAGTTGGTGATGGTATTTTATTAAATAACAAACAATATCGTCATCAAAGGAAATTTAAAAAAATTTCAACAACATTATCACCATTAGTAATACAAAGAAGTTCAATACATAATACGGATACAGAACAATATTTTTGTCCACAGACAATCACTTCGGATAGTGGTAGTTTAACACGACGAACGAAAGGTAAAATTGAAAAAAAATTTATTCATTTATTTATTTATTTAAACATTTCAGCTTCTCAAATGTCATCAACAGTTACTAATCAATATCGTTATGAACGACCATCAAATACTACGAAAACTAGTTCTGTTAAATTGCCGATTGATCGAATGAATCGCGAACATCATTCATGTAGTTCATCATCTCGTTCAATTGATGATCATTTTTCACTTGAATTTGAAGAAATACTTGAAAATGAACGTTCATATAAACAACGAAAAGATAAACAATCTTCAACTAAGCCAATATCACCAACATCGACATCACCACGAAAGAATCCATTTATACTTCCATTAGATAAAACAAATATCAAATTGCCATCACCACCACCAATTTTATTTTCACCAACATTAACAAAAACAAATTCACGTGCTATATTAAAACATATTGAAGAAATTGAAAATGAAATTCGATTAATTAAAAATTTAGATGTGAATAATGGTAGTGATGACGATGATGATAACGAGGACGATGAATGTGTTCTTTCACCACAAGCTTATCCTGAAGAAATTATTGATTTAGAAGATGAAAATGACGATGATAATGATCCGGAAGAAAAAATTAAAGATGAACGACAATCAATCAATGAACAAGTTGATCAATGGGTTGAAAAATGTTTAAAAACAACTAATAATACAAATAAATCAGCAACTCTTGTTCATACTGAATGTGATCATGTATCAAATACTATGAACGATTATATTGTTTGTTTATCTTCTAATAATGATCGACGAACTTCATCAATACCAAAACTTCAACAACTACCAAAATTAATGACAGCTTTCTATTTAAGTTCAATACCAGATCAAACAACAAAACGAACATCTTCATTTATTGATAAACCACTAACACTAGAGAAATCTCAGACAGTTATACATCAATTACAACCTATACATGAATGTCCTTTTTAAAAGTTGATATGAGCAGTATGTGTATATCTAGTATGTTAATTCTAGTTCAGATCAGTATTAATTTCCTTTTCTTGTTTGTTTGCGTGTGCGATATGTTAAGGTATCGTTATATATTAATGAAAAATTTCTTTAACGTACATATTTTTATTTATTATAGAAAAAAAAAGAAAATTTTATCATCAATGTTTTTAAAGTTTTTCAGTTATAATATCTAAACAACTGTCTTTGATCTGAAGAAAAATTGACGTTGTCAAGAGAGAGAATACAAGTTGAATAGAAAAACTAATAGAAATTCAGAATAAAACAAGTAAACTACTGCAACCAGTAGTTTTCATACATCGACATTTTTGATGAAATATGGATGACAGGAGGATGTGTCACTAATACAAAATTTATATTTGTTACGTTCTTCTTTAGGCAATGTAGATCAAATGAACATGATAAGAGAAAAACACAACCTTTCCTTTTATTTTCAAAACTATATCTGATTATGTATAATAACACACACACGCGTATCATCAAAGCAGAGAGACAGAGCAGAAAAGAAAAAAGGATAAAGAGAGAAGGAGCGTGACAAAAATAAATGAAAGATGAAAAAAACAGCAATCATCTATATGCTCTCGTATCATAACATTGTTGCTCAATCTTATCAGATAATTTTTTAACTAATATACCATGACGTAACGATTGTTGTTCTATATTATTAATGAGACAACTAGTAAAACGATTATGTAATTGTTGTTGTGATTACTATTGATAACTAAGATTCTTTTCATATTATTAATATTACTTCTTCTGTTCTATATGATTGAACGACATAAGAATGATTTGCATTTCTTGTACAAATATAAATGACTGACAAAAACTATCCTTTTTGAAAATTCTTGTCATCAGCATATTGTTGGTAATTACAATTCGTTTGTTCCTCATTTAAATAGTTTATCATGCGAAGGATACGTGTTCTGCAATTTCAAGTTCCTATTGCATCTGTTGTAAACATCTAAGAAAAGTTAATTTCTAATAAGTTGACTCAACTGTTGTTTTTTTTAAACAAATGAGTTAATTCTATGTTTTTTTCAAATAAAATCTAACGTGCAAAATGGCAATCGTACTCATCAATTCAAAAATTTACTTTAATATATTACGTTTCATTCATCTATCTGTTTGCGAGACAAGATTTGAACGATTTTATTGTTATTTTCAATTTTCATATTAAGCCTCGATAGTCGTATTGAATGTTTTTCATAATTTTCGTGACACTTTTCGTAGACTATACAGAAGTTTTTAATTGTTCCGTATAACTTTTATGTAATATCATTGTGATACTGAAGAACTTGCCGTTTTTGTTCTAAATGTATAAAGTATTAGTTCGAGTCGGATATGATAAAGTAAACATTTAAAAAATTCGTTGAAGAAAATTACTGAACAAGACAAACTTGTCATTGACCATCACAATAGAAAAATCAATTGAGAGTATAAAACTGTTTTGTCTAATCTGATATATTTCTATCTCATCACTGTTCTTACCATTCTAAATTTCCACTATGACTATCGGTTCGTTCCTCAATATTTTTTTAAAAATGTTATGCAAAAACCTAATATTCAACGACAAAACATTATTTGTAATAATCAATCAACAATTATGTATTTGGTTCTCCAATCCAAGAAAACAGCACTGTAGCCTAACGTAAACGATATCAGATGGCAGAGAGCAGCGTCGTTACGTCGACGTATTTTTGTAAGCTTGTAAAAAGATTAAATCGGTAGAAGAAATCATGATCATTAGCAAGCAAAGAGACGGCAAGTAAGCAAAGTTAGTATTGTATTCAGTCTTTTCTTATTCAAGAATGGATGTGCGTATGGATTAGTAAAGAGAAGATCCATACTCATATTCTGAATTGTTCTCTATCACTAACGCATGATCTGTTCGTCTTGTAGCATGCCACTAAAGCTGATACTACAAGTCTCGTAGTCTTCTTGAAAATGACAATCTCAATGGTTTTACTACTCTTCATCAAACGTTCTAATATATTGAAAACGATGATTGGACTATAGCTAGACTACACATGCTTGTGCCATATCAACTGTTCAATGTGAAAAATAATGGCGGAGAATAAAAGTTACAAAATATATTAGCTAAAATTGTCTTAGATTTTGTGAAGCCTATGCAAGAATTCTATATCGATTCCGAATGTACATATATGATCTATCCAAAACGTACACGTCAACATTCAAGTATCGATATAACATCACGGTAAGTTTTTTGAACAGATAAAAGTGTGCAATATGAAACTTGACTAAAATAAAGCTTGGAATTCAATTATAAGTATCTTCATGCCTAAAAAATTGTATAACTGTGTCTGTCTTATTAATTCATAAGATAAACCAAGAAATTGTATTCATTCCTGAACTGTTCGAGTCGTCAAAGTCCTCTGGGAAGCTGGATTTTTTTGTAATGATATTTTGGACATTTTAAATTTTTATGATATCATTATATATTTTTCATAGATCCGATATCTTGAAATGATGATCAACTCTTCTTGTATAATATTCTCGGAATCAATTTAGCAAAGTCAACAAGCAATTTTATAACTATATTGAATCCTTCGCGAACGATTCCATGACTTTTTGTAGTGCAATTCTCAGTGTTAATGATCTCTCCATTATTTAGACCATAACACTATTTGTTCAATATGCATTTAAATTATTTCTACACATCACTTTTTAAATTAAACTCACTAAAACTCTACGCTTCTTTTGTTTTGTATTGCAACTTGATAATTTAATTATGATGCTTCTTTTCTTTCAAAATCATTGCTTTATGTGAATTGTTTTGTTACCCTGGGTATACACTAATACTTTCTTTATAATGTACTTTTTCTCACTTACTCCACCCAAACTTTCGATTCTACTTCGCATATAAAAAAATACATGTCTCTAATAATCGCTCTATGTTTTCATTTTGTTCTGAAACAGTGTCTATAATTAAAATATCCAGCTGCACGAAACTCTTGATGAATCTGATCTTATACAGAAGCATTAAATAAACCAAAAATAAGCGGAAAAATCCTAGCAAATTTGAAAATCAGATACAGTAAATTCCATATCACGTTTTTTTCACGTCCAAAACTGTCTTACAAGACGCCAATACCTCATAAATAAATTGAATTTCAACACTCACCAACTGCTAATAGAGCTTCATATGTAAAGAATTGCTACACTCATGACACAAACATGCATTTCACATCGACAATGAAAATACCTCATAAACATATTTTTTTTATCCAATGACTCATGTTTTAACTATACCATTCTATAGAGAATTGAATTCTGTACGTAGCATAATGATTAAAAGAATTAAAACAAGCCATCTGTCCAATCCTGTCGAGGCTTACTGTCAGAACAGACTTCAAAAACTAGTATTTTGGGCCAAAACTTCGTTTTTTCCCCAATGACTCCTATTGAAATTGGTACCATTCGATGGAAAACGAATTTCTACATGTAAGAAAACCCGGTAGAGGACTGACACAAATAAAAAGAAAAGAATCCGAACAAGAAAAGGTTCGAAACGATACTAACTTTATTTATGTAAAGATGGCCCATAAAATGGACTGATGCATTACGGCGAAATACGGTGTAAACTATTGCAGTAATATTACATCGTTTCAGGTCGTTTCTGATTGTCGGAATGATTACATTGAGTTATTTAATATAAACACTACCATATCTTACCAGTTGATTTATTCTATTAAAGAAGAGCTTTTGGCGATTACCAATAATTTGATCAATCTGGAACTCAATGCCGTTGCTATAGACAAAATGTAATCAAACAGTTTTAGAACAAATCATTTCGGATCATTTTCTATTCGATATTATTCTTTCGTAAAGTCATGAAAATATTTACTAGCCTGAGGGTGAGTTTTCTCTAGCTCTTATATGTCATTTGTCTTCTAACACATTCATCAGGATATAATCAATTCTAAAATAGAATACAAAATCACGTATTATAATACGACTAGTAAAAATTTAACGAAAATCATTCATTCATTACAATTCAAATATTGATATTGGTAACCGGAGAATTTTGTCTTGATAAGAAAGTTAACTCGATATTTGTCATGAGTAAATTCTTTTCTTTCATTTAATTCAACATTAATAATCCATTAAGAAAGATCTACATAGTAATGTTGCATATTTCGATGCTTAACGATTTCACTAGAACTGACATTATTCATTGAATAACTCAACAAACGAAATACCTTTATATAGAATTGTAAATTGATATGTATTAAGATCGAAGTTCTTTAATCTCAACGAGTTCTTATTACCATTAATTTCCACTAGTCTGGATTAAATATAAATTCAACACTAGTTTAATTATACTCAATAATTTCTTTTCAGCTCGTATTGTCTGTATTTTTAAAAAGAGTTATCATTACATACGATATTATATATTTAAAAGAGCATTTTGTAATTATATCTTGACACAAATGAAATAATAAATATACATGAGTTCACTCACTTTACGAAAAATCAAACTCGTATAAACAATGTGTATTTCCGCAGGAATAATATTAATTCGATAAATACATTGTAAATATAAAAAGCTTATATATAGTGAAAAAAAATATAATATCCTATTTAGAATAGTATTAATATGTAAAGATACAAGCATAGTAGCGATTGCAAGAAACCATGCTTGTCAAGAAGACATTGTAGAACATGATTAAAAACATCTCTCAAGAAATGTCAATAATAATAATTGAGCAGTTAGAATCAATCCCTATATAATAACAAAAAATGAAAGTTTATCCATCGCTACTACTTAAATAGTGTTATATTCCTTTATTTAGGAAATTTCTAGATCGAAATTCTAAATGAAAGATAAACAATTCATATTATCACATTTTATTTATATAAAACATCATGTCAATACTGCAAAAGCGTTGTACATAGGCTTCAATGATAATAAAGATCAACTTCTATGTAATACTTCAAGA